TCTGCTGGCCTCCTGTGCACTCCCCACATCCCACCCATCCCCACAGTAGCGACCCTAGTGTGGAGCCAAGGTGGGTTGCATGTTCCACAGGATGAAGAAGGACGTAGGTCCCCGGCAAGGGCCAGGCAGGGATCTCCTGGCCTCGCCATGTGTGCTGGTCACCCTCTCCCGGGCCCACCCTGCAGGAGACCCTCCACTAAAAGAGTCACCTTCACCAGGACCAACCACCTGTGTGACACGGTTTGAAGGATACAAGATACTCGCTCCAGACATCCATGTCCACCTTCCCCTTCCAAGATGCAAGTCAGCCGTGGTCCCTAACGTGTTCTGTCCAGGGGGGCACCAGGTATCTTCGGGAAGCTCTGACCTCTGACATCACACAGCTGAGACATTGCCTGTTCATGAGGCTAAGCCTTTCCCCCAGGGACCTTTAACGTTCATGATAAAAATGTCACCATCACATCGGTCCATAATGTTAGGCTTTTTTTTTCCTCCAAAGACAGGCAGGACTTAATGCAACTGCCAGCCTGTGAGCCTGGAGGGGGGCCCCGGACGGGCACGTCGTGGTTGGGTGGAACTACCTTGAGCATGGCAAGGCCTGCAGGCAGGGGAAGGACAGCTCTCTGCGATTCTGGGGGCTGCTGATCTTTGGGAGCGCCGTGAATTTACAACAGAGGCACAATAAAGTACCCGAGGTGGTAAGGTTTTCAGCCTTCCTCGACTGACTGCACCCCATACCCTCTGCGAGCCGGGAGATTTTGCTCCCCGGATCGGCCTCTGGCTCTTCAGCTTGTGCAGGAGCATGGACTGAAGCTCGAGATGCCGGGGCTGGCCTACAGGGGAGGCCTGAGGAGGGGCACCAGAGGGGACTGTACGGGGAAGCTGGGGCAGTTTGGAGGGGCACCAGAGAGATCCATGGGAGCAGCTCTGTGGGGGCCAGGGAGATCCAGAAAGAGGTCCCTGGGGAAGTTTTGCAGTGCATCAATAATGTGACACCCCATAGATAGTGTGGCCAGTGCCGAGGGTAGAGATTTGGGTCACTCTGGGTTATTTGGTGGCCTGCTGGGTTGTTGTTTCTTTGGTGGTGACTGGCTGGGGCTTTGTCTAGGACTTCCATTTAATGAGAGGCCTTGACAATGGGCCCCGGGGTAAAAGTGCAGCTCATGTGGCCACTGGGTCATTCTCAAGTCTTCTTGAGGGCCAGCCAGGCTGGCCCTATTTTGGGCTTGCTCCAAGCTTGATTGTGGGGGCTTGTCACGTCTGCCTGTGGGAAGAGGGGACGGGAGGGTCTGGTTGTCCCTATTCTCCACAGGGGAAGTGAGGAGAAGCTCTTCAGTACCCAAGTGAGAGCCCCAGTGCCTTCACTTTGCCGCGTGACAGCTGCCAAAGTGATCTTTGCACAGATGGGCTGAGGGAGGGACGTCTGCAGAAGTGAGACCAATTTTCCAGAGAAAAGGTCTCTGAAGATTCCTAAGCTCCCCCCACTCCCCCCGTAGAGAAGGCTGGCTTCTGACCACCGGACACAGGCTCTCCTGCCCAGCACAGGGTAGGGAACAAGAGAAAACCCACAAATGGAGCAGAACGTGGGGACAGTCATGGGCACGTGCCACGTGGGGCTCGGAGGTGGTGGATGTGGAGTTACCTTTGTCCTTAGCACCCCTCAACAGGGGGCACCTTGGTCTGCCAGAGGGGACCCCACTTCCTCCAGACAGGAAGCCACAGGTGCTTCCCCAAACCTCAAGTTTCTGTGTAAAAGGATATTGGTCGCGACCTCACCATTGAAGGACTGTAGGACCCAGGGGCTCCCCTCCTTTGGTTCGCTTGGATCTGAACGGGAGCTTGGATATTTGCCCTGGATGCATGTTTTGGGGTCAGAGCCAGACCAGGCAAGGCAGAGGTGGCATCTAGTAGCAGGAAGAGCTTAGTAATGAGTTGACACCCTGAACTGTGGAACCCTGCGTGTTTTTATCTTGATGATGCCCAGGATATGTGTAAATCAGGATTTCTCAGCCTTGGCGCCGTTGACATTGTGGATCAGGGAATCTGGTGTGGTGAGGGCTGCCCTGTGCCCTGTAGCAGCATCTGGCCTCTACCCACCAGATGCCAGTAGCACCTCTAGTGTGACAATAAAAGACATCTCCAGACAGTGCCAAGTATGCCCTTAGGGGCACAGTCGCCCCATTTGAGAACTGGTGGTCCAAACCAAGAAAGCAGCCATGCCCCTTCCAGTCCGGCACCCCTCAGTTTTTGAGAATCGAGAGGGTTAGAGTCTGGGCTCAGTTCTCTCAACTGTCAAATAATGGCATAAAAAGGCAATCACTAAGACCCTTCCGCTCCAGAAACCTGTGTTTCTAAGACAAGTTTTTACTTTACAGCCTTCGAGGCTAGATAGAGAGCAATAGGGGGCGTTGGCTGGGTGTGAGGAATAATTCGTGGCTGAATATCGATCCTGTGTGAAACCTGTTATCAGAGAAGTTCATTCCCTGTTCCCTATTTCACTGACCCTATGGCCTACTGCCTTGCTGGCATCTTCCTGGACATTCAACAGCGTCTCAGACTTTACATGGGTGATCCTCCCACCTGGCCCCCAGAATTGCCTTCCTTGCGTCTTTCCACCTCAGTGGATGCCAACTCTGGTAGCTTCAAATTAGATCCAGGACCCAAGTGCTTCGTAACACCTGCTGTCCTCAGACTCTGGTCCAAGCCAGCCACCTCATCAGTGGTCTCCTCATTGGTCTTCCACCCTGCTCCTCCTACAGCTTGTCATCAATACAGAAACCAAAGTCTCCTGTTGAGACATGTGATCACAGAGTTCCTTTATTCAAAGTCTTCCACTTAAGAGTGAAAGCTTCACTTAGGATGACCTCATGTTTCCCCCCATGACTTGCCCCTCTCCCCCTTGCCTCACCTCTTCCACTTCAGCCACGCTTGTGTCCTAGATGTTCACTGAATACGCGTGGCATACTGCTACCTCAGGGCCTCTGCACGTGCTGGTCCTACTGCTTGGGGAGCTTTTTCTCCAGATACCCACGCGGCTCTTTCTTCACCTTACTGTTAAATGTAGCATTCTCATTGAGGCTGCTCTGACCATCCCTTTAAAAATTATATCCTACCTCCCCATTCCTGATCATCCATACTCTGCTTTTCCCACTCATTGAACTTATCTAACAAACTATGTAATTTGGTTATTTACCATGCTCGTTGTCCCTCTCCTTTTTCCATTAGACTTGTGCTCCGTGAAAATAGATATTGTGCTTGTTTTCTTTACTGATAGTTTCCATGCCCAGAACAGTGCCTGGCACAGGGCAGACCCTCAGTAGACATTTGTTGAATGAATGAATGGCCCTTAGTTGTGTTTTCCCCTTTCACTTCTTTGATAACAAAATAGGGACAATATTATTTAGAGAAGAATGAGGCTTAAATCTTTTTGAAAATGAGCTATTAGGTAGTCTGATCACAATTATCCATACAGATGAGAGGTAGTTTGGAAAATCCTAAAATACCGATAGTCCAATAAGTATTTCTATTTTGATTATATCATGTGATGTTATGGTTGACTCTTTCCTGAGTATTTTTTCTTAAGATGGCAGCATGAATACCAGGTTTGTGTGTGTGTGTGTGTGTGTGTGTGTGTGCATAAGTGTATATGTGTACACACATGTGAGGTAGTGAGGGTACATTGGGAAATTACCTAAAACTGAGTACATTCATTCCCATAATACATTCCATGCATAAGACTTGCTAAGGATTAAGTTCAAAGACTGCTATGTGAATGCGATCTTCCAAGAGCTTCAAGGAACTTATAAACAGCTCATTGAAGGTTGACCAGAGCCAGAACTGTCCATGTATGTGTGTTCTGTGAGCCTCATTATTGGCTGGTTGTCTTCTAGGCTTGCAACCCAACCCTTTTTGTGTAACATCTGTACAGTTAAGTGGGACTAGTCCTACTTGAAGCTGGTCCCAATGGTCCCTTGAGATAAGCACAAAAGCCATTGGGATTCAGGACACTCAAGATAGTTTCCATGGTAGTAGGAAGAGATGTTCTCTCTTACAATGTGAAATAAAAAGCTAGCAGCCTTCTTGCTACCATGAAAGAGGCTAGCTTGAGGACGAAGCAGACAGAAGAGGGCAGAATGAGAGACATAGAGAAGTGGAGTCATAGCCTTATTGACTTTGTGAACCTCTGGACCAAATCCTGCCTGATGTTTGCCCCACTTCTGGACTTCACAGAAATCCAAGACAATAAACCCATTAAGCTGACATAAACTGGGGTGTCTTTACTTGCCACGAAAGGCATCCTGATACAGTGCTCTTCGATTTTTTTCAGGCCATCCCCTAGGCTTCCCAGTGGGTCCTGGGTGTGGATTAACACATGCGTCCTTTGTGCAGTCAGCATTGTGGGCATGCATACATGGATGCACTTCAGAATCCTAATTCAGTGAACTGTTTTTGGTTCACATACATGTGACGCTCCATTTCTCTGGCATAAATGAAAAGTATTTGAGTGCCTCACACTAATGTCAAAAGTATAAAAAGTAGCAGGGGGCTTCTCACACCATTATCATACTTCTCATGTTGTATTCTTCAAGTCTTGCTGCTGAACATGCTTTTAAAATGCCTACCTGAATGTCCAGAGAATTCTGAGGCTGAGCTGGTTCTCCTGGCGGCCAGGCCCAGCACCAGCCTGAGGCCTGAGAGCAATGCTGTCCAGGGGACAGCGAGCCCGGAAAGGCAACGTGTGAACAAACTCTCCAACTGGCCGTTCCTTATTTATTAGATTCCAGATACATGGGACCAGAAGAATCCTAGGGCATTTGATTTACATGGGGTGGGGTGGGGGATTTGGGGGAGAACACATAACAGAGGCAGAAATACGTACAGATGGGGGATGCAATGAGGGACTGCCATTTTAAAAAATATATACATCTTAAGAAGCCATTCCAGCCATTTAATCATTATCAGAAAATAAAACAATCTTTCCACATCGTGCTTTTCTTTGGTGCTGTTCCATGGGCACGGGCCCCTCTGTCTTCTTGTCACGTTTGTCACCGCTCCCCTGCTCCTTCCTGCCACCCCAACTTCTCCCACCTGCACAAAGGTTGGGGAGGGTCTGCAGGAGGGAAGGGTGGCCCCTGCCACGGAGCTGGGTGCCGATTCTGGCTCCTCTAAAGCCCTGCCTGGCCTCTCCACCAATGCCCCGCTCCGGTCTTGAGATTTTCCTACTCGGTTCTTCATTTGTGGCCTGGGAAATAATCGAAGTTTCCTGTATGCAAAAAGAACCTGGGGGCCACAACCTCACATGTGACAAAACCAGTCTAGAAGCTTTAGAAAGGGTGGGGACATGGGGACCAAATAAAACCCAGCCAATACTACCTTCTCCATGGTTGGATTTTTACATTTTATTTCTCGGTTCATTTCAATGACCTGTATCATGAGAGTACAAGTGAGAAGGGCAATTTCCTCTTTACAGATTTTCCAGGAACAGCAGATTTGGGGGGGCAAATGAGTTCCATCCTGTTTGGGGGGTGGGGCGTCCTAAACTCTCCTGACTTCACCATCCCCCACAAGTCAGGGCCCCTCTTCCCAGGGAGGCCCCAAAGCTGGCGCCTCCAACTAACAAGTTGGCCTAAATTTTTTCTTTGAATGTCCAATGGCTCCATGAGTATACACCAGGGCCTTCCTCACGGACAGAGTTCCCATCGTGCCGGATCCATTTCCTGTGGCCACTGGGGTTTATGTGTATAAGCAGCATCCACCTCGCTGGCACAGAGCCACCAAGATCACCACCTCCCCCCACTGTTAGAGGCTCTACTGGCAGGACAGTTGCCAAAGCACCAGATCCACTGACACACTGTGTACAGGACACCTACCCACCCCAAACCAGTTTTACCAGTAACTGAGATGCTTCTCCTAAAAAAAGATGGGCTGCAAATGCCAGCCGTGCATGGGCCCCCGACAGCTCGGGTCCCCCTGCTTGAGCAGGGAAGTGCTACTTGGCAGAGGAGATGCCACCCCCAGTCCCACCTCCTCAAGCACACATCCCAACAGAAGGCTGGGGAAGGCTCCCAAGGAGCAAACTCCAACTTCTATCACCGTGAGGACCCTCTAGTTCAGACCTTGGGGCATGGCTCCTAACAGCTGTCAAACTGGGGGCTGTGTTCAGGTCCCTTGATGCTAAGGTGCCTGTGTGTCCACCCCGATTGGGACTGCCCAGAGACCTAGGGATGAAGCATCTGGGCCAATGATTCCAATGCAGACAGTCAGGTGGCTTTGGCCTCGGATTCCCCACAGGCCAACGGGACAGGAGCACACTTCACTGGGCTATGAGGCCTCCTGGAACCCTTTACCTTTTGTATGTGAGGACATCAGAGAGACACTCAGTAACCACTGGGTCTCAGCCAACCCTTGGGTCTGGGGTGACCTCAGCAGGTCCCAACATAGGAGTTCAGAGGAGTGGTATCTGGGGTGGAGAGGTAGCAAGGCGAAACCAGCATCCGCTGCTTCACATGGAAGGCTGCAGGGCTGTGGGGGACAGCACCTGGCCCCCTGGTGTCCAGGCTCATCCACCTGCTTCTCCAGATGCTAGGAGGTTGGGGTAGATGGGTGTGGATTCCCCAGAAAAGTGTCCCAGGTAGGGCTACCCTGATCCCTGCTTCAGAAGGCAGCTGTTTAGAAGATGCTTTTACCACACTTAACCCTCCTTCATCTTCAGGGGATCCTGAGCTGCCATCAGCTAACCTGTGTGCAGTGGACGGGTTGCTAAGGGCTGCCCTAAGTGCGTTATAACCGACTTTCAAGGTCATTCACAGAAATCAGGTGACTGTCCCCATTTGCGTGGGACTGAGGCATTTCCCAGGACATGGCTTTTCAGTGCTAAAACCATGAACATTCTGGGCAAACCAGGGTGGCCAGTCACCCTCCACAGCAGCCAGGAAGACAGGGGGTCCCACCACAGAGCTGCGCCTTCTCCGTGCACTCAGGGAGCCATGTCACACTTTAGTCCAAAGGTGGCAGAGCAACCCCCGCCCCTCATGGCACTGATTTGCCCAACCTTCTGGAATGTTGGGAGTGGGGTGTCCTGCTGTCCACCGTCCACAGTAGCCAGCCCCTCCAGTAGGCTGGCACCTTCCCCTGAGCTCCCCGTCTTCAGGGATCCCCCACCTGCTTATCTCACTTCTGGGACTTTCTGTGCTCCGCAAAGATTGGGTCGAGCCTCTCCCCATCTTGGCCCAATCCTCCCAGGACCACCACCCTGGAGACCAGTGCCCAGGTGCCCTCAGATGGGGGCGGGCCTCCTCACTCCCCAACCTCCCGCTGGCCCACCTGCTGCAGACCTGCCCTGAAGGCTGACAGCGGGAAGGGGAGAAGCAAGCAGAAGGGGGAGCTCTGGGGAACAGTGCCTCCACCCTGCCCTTCTCTGAGCCAGCCCCCTTCCCAGCTATGGACCTTGAGGTCTCCTGGGCTGGCCGAACCCACTGAGCAAGCTCTGAGGTAGGGGCAGCAAGCGGCAGGGATTTCCTGGGAGAGGCAGGAGGGGAAGGCAGTGGGCCCCTGCGCAGTGGTGACAGGCCGGTGGGAGGACCCGGAGGGCAGGTGCCCAGAGATGCACGAGCGCTGGCAGCGGCTGTCTTGATGATGAGTCCCTCACGGGAGCTGGGTGTGTGCCAAGCTGAAAAGATGCAGGGCTGGGGGGGCCCTCTGGACCCCAAAAGGTGTGGGGCCTCTTGCGGGGTCCCAGAGAACCTCAGAGTAGGCGGGGCCTCTGGAAGCAAGCACCTGCGCCGTGGGAAGGGCAAACTTCCAGGTGGCGCCCAGCGGGAACTGGGTGGGGGTCCGGGGCGCTGAGCACCGCCCACCCAGTGCGGGGGTGGGGGGTGGGGGGGCCGGGTTAGGATCTGCACTGCGGCCTCTTGCTGGTTTGGGGGGCGGGGGGGTGCTTCCTCGCTGGTCTCCAGTCTCAGGGGAGTGGGCCCTGGCCCGGGCCTCAGCAGCGCCCACGGGGAGGAGAAACATACCAAAGAAAAAGCCGGTTACAGCCGAGCCCCCGCCGCCCCCGCCGCGCCCCGCCGCCCCGGGGCTCCGCACGCTCCTTCCTGCGGGGCGCTGGGACTCGGGGGCTGCTCCGGCCATGATACAGGGCTTGAAGGGCGAGGCTGGTGGCTGTGGAGGTCTCCGCGTCGCTCTGGCCGTCCGCCGGTGCGGGCGGGAGTGGGTGCACGTGCCGGCCGTCAGACCTTGGCCTCCAGCATCTCCAGGAAGAGTTTGTGCATGGGCACCTTGCCCTGCAGTTTGACGCTGTAGAAGTGCTGCACCGCCTTGGCCGCCGTCTGCCGCAGCAGGGGCAGGGTCAGCAGCAGCTTGCCCGTCCTCCGGGGCTCCTCGTGGCGCTGGCTCAGCTCGTAGTCCTGAAGCGCCTCGTGCAGCAGATCCTGCAGCTTCTGCACCGCCTCCAGATCCTCGATGTACATGGAATCTGAGGGCACAGGGCGGCGTCAGCAGGTGTGGCCCGATGCCCTGGGGTGTGTGTGTGTGTGTAGCGGGGATGCCCTGGGGCCTTCCAAATCCTCCCCTGACCGAGAAGGAAGTGGAGGCCCATGGAGGCTACGCTGCCACCCTGGGGCACAGAGGCCCATGGCAGAGCTGAGGCTTGGAGCCAGGGAGCCATCTGTATCTACGAAGGTCATCTCTTGAGAAACCACCAAGAGGTGGCAGCGGAGGCCCGGAAGGCCTTGGACGTGAGCAGACCTGTCACTGCCCTAGAGGTACTGGGTGGGATGGGAGCCAGCCTGGGGGGGAGCTGGAATCTTGCGTCCCTCCCTTGCTAGCTGTGTGACTTTAGGCAAATTACCTAACTTCTCTGTGCCGTATTTTTCTCCTTTGGTAAATGAGATGATAGCCACACCTACCTCAGAGAGGTTAAATGAGTTAATATGGGTCAAGGGCTGAAAACAGGACTTGGCCTGAAGTGAGTGCCCAGCTGGTGGTATCATGACCAGCATCATCTGGTTGTTGCTGCTGCCACCAGGCACCAGCTGGTCTTCAATGTCATTGTTGGCCTGACAGGATGCCGTTTACAGAATGCAAACCAGACAAAGGGGCTGAGCTCTGTGCCTAGGGGCCCTGTGGCAGGGGTCTGCTGGGGGGCTGAGACAGCATGGCTGGATGCAAGGGCCACGGTGAGGGAGCATGCTACTGGGAGTCCTCTAAAAATCCTGAGGAAGGCTTTGGATTCAGGCACAAGTTAGGGGTTCAAATGGAAGTTACCTAAATCCCAGCAGGGCAGCCAGGAACCCACTGACAGCTGGGTTACAGTGGGGTCTCAACTGAAGCAAAGGCAGTTTCCTAGAACCCAATCCCTGGCCTCTGATATAATAACTTGCCTTCTGACATTCCTTAAAGATCTCGAGCTGCCACCCAGAACTGCAGTGCCCAACGCCTGCCAAAGGCGGGAAGTTAAGGGTGTGTGATGCATCCAGGCAACTGAAAGCTCTGGGTAGGCTGCCGAGGAAGGTGGAGCGAGGAGCAGAACAATGCCTTTGCAGGCTGGGTTAGTTTAGGTACCAGACCAAGGGCAGCTGTTCCAACTGGCTGACCCCAGTGACGCCTTCTGACCTTCTGCATCCATACTCAGTCCATGCCTCCTCTTCCTCTTGGGAGAAGAGCAGCAGAAAGGGGAAGACAGGATTCTGGAGTCTTAGATGCTGTATTATTTTGGCCATTGTTTCCTCCCCCATAAAACGAAACAAATGCCTCCATACCTCATAGGGTAGTGGCGAGGGTTAAAAGAAATTGCACATTGCCAGGCACTTAGTAAGCACCTACTACATGGAATGTTATCATTATGATGAGGACCCAGCCTGGGGCAAATGCCTTTAGTGCGCAGGGGTATTACTGGCCCCACGGTCAAGACGCTTCCACACTGTTCTTCCCCTTGTTCCCAAAGCAGTGAGGACTCCTTTGCTGCTTGGAGATGGAGCCTGGCTCTATTCCTACACTCTCAGCTGTTTCCAGAATGTGTACCCAAGATGTGCTGGTCCCTGGGAGGCTGGGATATGGCCATCCAGACTCCCTGCCTGCCCCAGCTTCCTTGCCCCACCCCCACCCTCCCCCAGGAGGCCAAAATTGGCAGCTGCCTTCGACCAAAAATGAAATAAAATAACATTGCAAGATTAATTTCTTTGCAATCCATCAGCGAGTCTGTATCGATGGCATTGATAAACTGTTAATTACAAAATCAATGGCTATGAATTTTTTCTGCTGTCAGGGAGCCTTGGAGATGGCCAGGATTTGGGGTGAAAGACGGCCAGTAGGCTCCTGAGGGGCTGGGGTTCGGGGCCACAGCCCATCTCTGATGTGCTTCATTCTTCTGCTGAGCATCAGCCCCCCAAGCCACATGTGAGTGGTCCTGTCTCGTGCGTTCAACCTCAGCAGTGGCACCCACAGTGGCCCTGGGGACCGCCACCAGGACCACTCCTCCGATGACCTCCTGGAGCTTATCTCTCTTCTAGTTGGCACTCTGTCTGACTGGGAGACTTTCCCACCTCGCTGCACCACCTCTCATAGCCCCCCTGGACCGACCCTATCACAAGCCAGCCCCTTCACAGACCTGGAGCCTCTGGTCTGAGCTCAACATGCTTTTCTGGCCTTACCTGCGACAGGCCTATTCCTTCCTCATTTCCTGCCCAAGGCTGATTGCTCCACCTTGCAGCCAGGGCCTGTGTGTCACCAATTCCACCTACATTTTGAACTACGTGTACCTGCACAGAAGCTGCAGGATGGCTTGGGATATGCCACTGGGGTAAGAAGTGCAGATTCCTGGAACTTCGTCTGGCACAACAAAGTGTGTACTCAGGCGAAGCTAGATACCAGCAAAGCTCCTGATGGGTTCGTGTTACTAAACCATGAGCAATCCTCAGGTGCTGTGTGTGCATGTGTGCATATGTGTGTCTGCATGTGTATATGTGTGCGTGTGTATATGCGTGCATGAGTGCTTGTGCGTGAGCATGGGTACACATGTATATTCTTAAATATGTGTGAATGCATGGATGCGTGTCTGTATGAGTGCAAGTGTGCCCGTACATGTACGTGTATTTGTGAGCATGCATGTCTGTGTGTACACGTACATGCATACCTGTGTGCATGCACGTGAATGTGTCTGTGAGCATGTGTGTGTGCACACGTGTCTGTATTTGTGTGCATACATGTCTTCATGTGCATGTGTGTGTGCACGCATTTGCCTGTGAGATCAGAACAGCGGTAGGCTAAGCCAAAAGCCATCTGAAAGCTGTCACAGCCTGACGTTCAGGAGTGGGGAAGAGGTGACAATTAAAGGGCCTCTCGCCTCCTCACTCTCCTCTCCTGGCACAGGCCAGCTTGAGCTCTATGTCAGGTGTGAAGCGCTCAGCAGAGTCTAAAATCCAGCATGTGCCCTCCAAGGCCTGGCAGCCTTGCTGGTCTCACGGTTCCCGCTCCGTGTCCTCTCCTTCCACCTCGTTCCCTCCACCACACAAACTCCAGCCCCTCTGCCAGGGCCAGTACGGCGCTTCCCTCTCAGTAGGTGAGCGCAGGCTCACCAGGGGCGAAGCTGTTCTGTATGGTGGGTGATGGGGGCACTCTGTCACTACCCATTTGTCCCATCTATAGACCCACACAACACAAGGAGTCAACCTTGATGGCAACTAGGGACTTTTGTTAATAATAATGTATCAATATTGGCTCATTAATTGTAACAAATCACCACACCAATACAAGATGTGAACAGTGGGGGTAGATGCCAGTGGTGGATGTGGGTGGGGTGGGGGCCACAGAATTGTACTACCACCTGCTCAATTACTCTGTACGTTTAAAACCACTTAAAAAAAACAACAACAGGATTAGCATTCTCTCATAAAGAATACACTCCCATTCTGGAATCTTAAGATGTAAATGGTGGGTACAGAAGCATTTCAATTTTTAGTTATTATTTTGCATTTGTTTATTAATAAAAGGGAGTTAAACTAAAAAAAAAAAAGGCTTCCCTCTCTGTATTAGATCAGGTTCCTCAAAAGCAGAGCCCAAGACCAGGGTTCGGGTGCACAGATTTCTGGAGGGTGTGCTTTCAGGAGGAGGGAAGTGAAGGAGGCAGGACAGGGTGAGGGCAGGAACAAGGAAGGTGAGGACATGGCCTTGGCTTGGGCCTGATCCATGCACAGCTCTGATCCCACCCTGCCAGGAGCCCAGCATTGGGCTGCAATTGCCAACGTACATAACTCTCCAGGCAAGGCAGGTGACGGTAGGTCTTGGTGAAGGAGGCAGCTGGGGGCTGTTAGCAGCCAAGCTCAGCGGCTGGGCCATGGGCGCGCTAACACAGTAAAGGGGGGCTGAGCAGGGCATCTGCATTCCTTAGGAAGCTATTTGCTGGGGGACCAACTGTCTGGGTTTACCAGGGACTGGGGTTTCCCAGGACACAGGACTTTTACTAAAAGCATGACAGTATCAAGCAAACCAGTTGGTAACCCTATTTGTACCGTCTCCACCTGGGAACCAGCCCCCCTGCTTCCCCATGCTGGTAACACTTTGTTTCCTCTAATATTAATAATAATGATAATAATTAATATTTATTGAACATTTCCTCTAGGCCAGGCACCAGGCTAAGTGCTTTATCTTCAGCTGATCATTTAATAGCAAAATGCTTGGAGGAGGTACTGGGATACCCCCATTTTACACACAAGGACAGGGCTAAGGAAGGTGGCCAACGTGCCCAAGGTCACACTGCTACTAAGTGGCAGAGCTAAAATCTGAACTTGGGTCCGTCTGACCCAGACTTAAGCAATGAACTCTAGCACACGCTGCCCTGCAGCCGATCTGCCTGACACTCTTGAGGACAGGGAGCAGCCTGACTTTCTCTTGCCTTCTCTGCGCACTACTTGGCATGGTACCCTGCACAGGGTGGGCGCTCCCTAACTGTGGACACACATTATATTCTAGCTCGCTCACCTGCATCGCCAATGCCCAGCCCCTCTCCCTAGAGATTCTAGCCAGAAGCTGGAAGGGGGCGAAGGAATGGAATGAAGCCTCCTTTTTATGTTTTTAATTTTTTTTTTAAAAAGGGTTTTTTTTATGATTTATTTATTTGATCAGGCTCCCTGCAGAGAGGCCTGCTTCTCCCTCTGCTTATGTCTCTGCCTCTCTCTGTCTCTCATGAATTAAAAAAAAAAAAAGGAGGGTATTTATTTATTAGACAGAGAGAGTAAGGGAAGGGGAGAGGGAGAGAGAGAATCTTCGAGCAGACTCCCCACTGAGCATGAAGCTGGATGCAGGGCTCCATCCCAGAACCCCGAGATCATGACCTGAGTCAAAATCATGAGTCGGATGCTTAACGGACTGAGCCGTCCAAGTGCCCCATGAAGCCCCTCCTTTTTAATGACAGACAGACAACTCAGCTGGGAAGGTTTGTTTTTCTCTTGTGTCTGAGCAATTTGATTGGGAGATTTAAGGAGTGGTTAGAAGCTGGGGGTTGATTTTGCATTCAGAGGACTTTGGTCTAAGTCCTAGCCCTGACACCCCTTCACAGCGTCACCCTGGGCAATTTTCTTCACCTCCCCAAGCCTCAGTTTCTACATCTGTAAAAAGCACCTTGCTCATAGGGTTGTAAGAATTCAGTAAGTTCATGGCTAATTTATTTAACAGGTTGAGCACTTATTACGTGCCGGGCATGTTGTGAGTGTAATATAATTATATTTAAACAAATGCCTTTCATAATCTGGTGGGGCAGGGACTCTTTATTGTTCCCATTTTATTGATAAAGGAAATGAGGCACAGAGGGAAGCGACTTGCCCAAATGGTAGAAGTGGGCTTTGACTCTTAGCCACTTAGCTATAGAGTCTGTGTCCTTAACCAGTGTGCCGGACTAGCTCTAAGAGGCCAAGCCTAGTGCCCTGCAAACCCAGGGCTCAGGAAGGATGTGCGTATTGCTGGCCTTCACCACCACCCTCTCTGCTCCAGGCCAACCCCTCACAATCTTTGGTGGTAAGAAGTCGTGGCATCTTCACACCATCCTGCCCCTGTGGTGGCCCGGCTCACAGGCCCCAGAGCTGTGCTCTCCCAGCCCAATAAGACATCTTGAAGCTCCCGCTGCGGGCCCCACACCCGCCCTTCCTTACCTGAGTTGGCCAGAGCCAGGGCCTTGAGTGTCACAAACTCCTCCTTCTCCACCTTGAGCTTCTTGTACCTGCGCACCAGCTGCAGGATGGCCCGGTAGAGCTCCAACAGCCCTGCAAGGCGGGAGTGCTCCTCATCCATGATGTAGTCCTCGGCATACACCAGCTTGTCATCGTAGGGCAGCGAGCGGTACACGATGCCCAAGATGAGGATCTCCATCCAGGCACTCTGCAGCAGGCTCATCTGATCCCCAAGAGAGAGGTTCGAGAAGCCTGCGGGAAGAAGGGGCAAGGAGGGTGGCAGCAGTCAGGTGGGCTGGCTGGAGGAAGTGATCCTGGGCACCTCTGGGTCCAGCCCCTCCCCTTGGTCAATGAGTCAGGGAATTCATGGGAAAGACTTAGACAACAACAACAACAACAAAAAAAAAGCCTTAGACAACAAAAAGACTTCAGTCAATGTTGACAGTTGTTACCACTATTACTGTTAGTTCTATGCAATTTTTCAAATGTCTGCAGAGGCTTTTCGATTAATTAAATGCATCTGTAATTTAAGGAGTTATTAAATTCATAATAGAACCAAGAAGCAGCAATACAGGGTCCCCTTCGCTCTGGGGACTTTCCAGATTCCTTTCTCCCTGCGCAACCAGGGGAGGTTCTGGTGTTTTAAAGTGACAGCTGATCCTTAGTGCAGTCTCAGCTGTGTGTGTTGACCCAAGGGCCCAACTGGAGAAGACGACTCAGCTGTTCCTGGCCAGTGACCGACCCGGCCCCCCACCCCTAGTGACCACAGCCTGGGGCTGCTAAGAGCTCAAGAGCCCCCAGGGTCAGGGGGCACTTTCTCACAGGACAGCCAGTCCTCCAGAGCTCAGACCCCTGCAGCCCTGGCCATCACTTCTCACCTAACAATGACTCAAACTGTCCTGCATTCTGGGAGCATAATATCCCGGGAGGAGTTCCCCCTCCTTGCTAGCAAGGAGGTTAACTCCAGAGTGAAAGGGGGTCAGTGCTGGGGATGGCACCAGAATTGGGACACTGTCTTGTCTAAGGTGCTCGGGAGATTGCCAGGGCCTGGACCCTGACTTTCCCATTTGAAAGCTGTGTAATTCCCCCAACCTCAGGGTCCAGTTCTATGAAATGCGTATAACTGTAGCATCTGTGTCAGACTCGCCGTGAGGTCTAAATGAGATAATTGTGGAACATACATCGTGTTCACTGAGCTCATACAATTGTTATTAATGGGGAGATGAAAAGTCTTCATCTACGAGATGAGAACAGTGTCTAGAATTGCACTGTACGTTCACTTGACTTAGGCATGGAACAATTAACATCCTGACTTGAGAGGGAGAGTAGAGAAGACGCAGGGGGAGGAAGTGAAGGAGGAAGAAGGGCGGTAGGAAGTGAAGGAGGAAGTGGAGGGGAGCAAGTTGATTTTTAAACATCTCGGTCACTAAGCACAAGGTGTTAACTTCAACCAGAGACCCAGCGATTGGCTGCCACGCTGACCATGCCAGAGTGATGGAAAGAGCAAAGCGTATCCACAAAGCCATTTGCACCATGCGTCACAGGCAACTAGGAGGGGGATTTCTGGGGGTAAGTCGGCTTGTGTGGGTGAGCGTCTACTTCACTTGCTGATCTGGCACCTCACCCTGCAAGGGTGCAGCACTGATGTGGGGGGCTGCAAGGATAAAGAGGTGGTGCACGGACAGGACCCAGCTCCACTCCTCACACAGCTGGTGCCCAGCGAGCCCGAGTGAGGATGGTGGTCATTACTATTACTGTTTTTGCTGTTATTAGCATGCTGTTGGCAGGGCTCTCCTCTCCCTTCTGGGCATGTTTGGAGGCCTGGGGTGGTCCCGAGTTTCTGGACAGGCCCATCGTTCTGGGCTTCCATGGAGTCTCCCCTACTCTCCCTTGCTGTCTCCTGATTCTAAAACCCACTGTCCCCTCCATTTTCCAACCAGTGCATGAGTGTTCAACTTTAGGGGGCACCCCCAGGAGGGAAGCCCGTTTGCCGGGCGGGTCGTCCTCTGCTGATGAGCGTCCTCTCAGTCCCATCCTCACAGTTCCTGGGTGCAATCTGTACACCCCAGCCTGGGCTCACCACCCGGCTGGTGGCATCCACGGGTGACTGACAAAATAGCTGGGCAATGACAGCGATGGACAGGGGCGGGCCTGGACTGATGTGCCTCCTCGGGGAGAGGCTGTGGCACCGAGGGGCCGGGCGCGTGTGTCGTCTGGCTCCTGGCGCGCGAGGGGATGTGTGGCAGCCTGGGGCGGCAGGGACAGCCGGGAGGTAATAAAAGGCAGACAGAATGGACATCCAATTTCCCTTATCGGGCCTCTGAGCGGGAGAGGCCTTGGGCAACATTAATTAACAGATCCCAATCAGCCGGCTCATGAGGGTGTGCGCGTGCGGGGACGTGGGGGGCTGTACTGGCAGCAGACACACCGGGAGGGAAGATGTAGGAGGTGGACGGGGCAAAATTAACGGACAATTGAATCGGAAGGTGGCAAAGAGGGAGGCTTCTGGCAAGGAAGGAGGAAAGACCCCTGTGAGGCCCATCATGCAGGTACCGCCACTAGGATTAACCGTGTGGTTCTCTTCATTCACTCAGCAAATCCTCCCTGGGCACCTGCTAAGGGCCAGGCCCTGGGGACAGAATGGCGAGCTCAAACCAGAACCAGGCCCCGGGTGCAAGAGCCTGCAGTAAAGAGGGAAAGGCACGCCCTGAGCCCTGAGCTCCGCTATGACCTCAAGGTTAGGACAGTTAGAAGAGCCAGAGGGATGTGGGGGGCTGCGAGAACACATCACGGGTGAACTGGGCCCACACAGGGAAGTGTGGGAGGCTGAGTGAGCCCTGAAGGGTGAGAAGGGCTCCAGAGGGGGTGGTGAGAGCGCCGCCAGTGAGTGCACCCAGGGGTGCTGGGATGAGCTGCCCCGTGTGCACCCATCTTCTCGCCGACCACTGCCGACCACCCAGCCTGGGACAAAGCTATCCCCCAGCACAGTAGAATCAACAAATGCCACAGGGCCCTGACTCCCAGGGGATAAGACTATGGACCCCAAGAACTCAGGAAGACCCTCTCCGTTCTTTAGACACAAGTTCAGATTTCACCGCCTCTGCCCAGTTGTGTTGGAGTCAGAGACTGGCCTGCCCTCTGGGGGAAATGCAGAGGAAGGGAGACGGCGCCTCTGAGAGTTTGTGCCACCATCCAAGGCTCGACCTCTCTGCTAGTGGGCCCGGGCCCTGACTCCTCTCCTCCTCCTTGAACGGCTTCAAGGGGAGCTGGAAGGGGCTTTGAAAATCCAAATGCAAAAAAAAAAAAAAAGAAAAAGAAAAAAGAAAAAGAAAGAAAGAAAGAAGAAAAGAAAAGAAAAGAAAAGAAAAGAAAAGAAAAGAAAAGAAAAGAAAAGAAAAGAAAATCAAAATGCATGGAGCAGTACAGAGGCTGCTTCATTTTGTGCAAGGGAGGGGGGAATAGGTGATATGTTTTAATTTTTGAAAGAGCCCAGATGTTTTCTAGTACTTGAAAAAAGAAAACACTGGAAGGGAAAATGAAAAATAAAAACTGGTCTAGGAGGAAAGGGAGGGGGGAAGCGACAAGGATAGAAGGGAGGGTTTTGTGTGCACATTTTTCTCTAGTTTTGGCTTTCGAACCTGTCCAGATTTAAGATGTTCTCAAAATAAAACCAAATCAAGCATTAAACCAAAGGCATGCTCCTTTCAACCCAGCAATTCCACCGCTTGGATTTTCTCCCCCTAAATACACAGAGATAAATGTGAAGCGGTGTTTGTTAGATTGGTCTGTAATGACCCCAAGCAGGAAACAACCTAAATATAACTAATGTGATACATGTAATCACTATATAAATGTAATTATTAGCTAAATGAATGGCATATTAGAAGCCACTAGAAAGAATGAGGTAGAACTGTTTTGGCAGGTGTAGAAAGATAACACAAAAGTGTAAGGAAGTTGTAACAATAAGGCACAGACATTAGAACCAGATTGTCCGCTGGAATCCCAGCTCTGCTGGCCACAGGCTGTGACCCTGGGCACATCCACTTCTCTGAACCCATTTTTTCTTCTGTAAAATGGGGATATTACTACTATTTCTCTCATGGCACTGTTGGGATTAAATGAGCTAACGTGTGGAACACTCAGTGCAATGCCTCCTGCAAGGTAGGCGCTACTATGTGATACAATTAAATGAAAGAAGCAGGATGTAAAACAGTGTTCAAGAATGGTCCTATGGTGGGGGGGGGAGAACACACACACACACACACACACAGATATACACGCGGGCATGCACACAGTGGCTATACATGCACAGGAAATTCCCAGAAGGATGTTTAAGAAAGATGAGGGATTTGGAACTCCTAATATCCATCCCTCTGTCAACTCTGACATCTTTACTAGAAGCACAGATTCTCTCTTTTACTTAAACCCAAACGAAGGGCTGAAGCACTCCTCCCTGCCCTTCAGCCGAGCACCCTCCACTTCTGCTTTTCTATGCCGGGCCCACGACTCCTCCTCCATCCAGCAATTAGTGATTCTGGCACAGGGGTTGCTGCTGGGGGAGGCTGGTGTGGCTCAGGCCCCTGGGCACCACACACTGCCCCCTTGAGGTCCTGCCCCGCCCAAGCTGGCTGCCCCCACCTGGAGCTCTGCTGCCCCCCCACCCCCACCCCCCGCCACCGCCCCAAAGTTGCTTTATCTGCACCAACTAATCTGATAACATTCAGGCTCTTCCCGAGCCCCCATCCCCCTATGATTTGACAGCATGAGCTCCTAGAATTTAAGAAAGGAAAAAAAAAAAAGCATATAATTTGTGGCAAGTGGAGTTCATAATCTGTTAATTTATTATCGTTTCTGTCGACCTGGAGGGCCATTAGCAGAGGTAATAAAGGGAGATGTAATTATAGGATCTGAGGCCACTCCAGACACAGCTGCTGTCACTCGGCAGCCCATATTTCATTGGCCGCTGGCATTCCCTCCCCAGTGGGAGCCAGACGGTGGCTACCTGGGAGCGGGCTGAGGAACCCCTCCGTAGGAGGCCTCTGGGGGGTCCCATGCAGAGGTGTGCACTTATCAGCCTGGGCCGGGCAGGGCTGTCCTGGCTGGGACAGCCTCCATGCCACCCGGGGTGGCGGGATAACCAGCTAATAACATCTGGACGCTGCAATTCATCAAGGGATTCCCTCCCTCTCGTAAAGGCTGCTGCCTCTGGTTGCAAACTGTCACTCACTGGGAACAAGAGGTGGGCACTCTAAAGACTGGGGCCTGGCCCCTGAGCAATGCAGGACTGCATGTGGCATAGGGCAACTGCAGATGGACTCGAACAAAAGAACGGCCACTGGGGCACCTGAGTGGCTCAGCAGCTGAACATCTGCATTTGGTTCAGGTTATGATCCCTGAGTCCTGGGATCGAGTCCCGCAACAGGCTCCCTATAGGGAGCCTGCTTCTCCCTCTGCCTGTGTCTCTGTCTCTCTCTCTGTGACTCTCATGAATAAATAAATAAAATCTTTAAAAAAGAAAAAGAATGGCCATTATTCTGAGTGACTTGCCATCAGCCCCAGTTCCCCATGGAACTCACCGGTGTGACTGTCCTCTGTGCTCAAAAACAGGAGTGAAAGGAGTGGGGCTGCTGGGAAATGAATTTGTGCTCAAATGATCCTCCCTCCTGGCCAAGTGGGTCACTCAGTGCCTGTGTGCATAGGTCAGCTTCTGGGCTTGGCCTGAAAACTTGTGTTCATGGCGCCCTGATGCCCCTCTGGCCTTTCCCTCCATGGTCACTGCCCATCAGGCCTGATGACCTTGCTCGGGTTCTGCTCTCTGCCCCTGCAGCCCCTGGCGTCCCTCCTGCCTGGGGACTCTGTCCCACGGTTGTTCTTGCTACATTCTAAGTGTTCAGGGTAGGGGATAGGACATGGGGTAGAGGCGAAGTGAGATGGGCTGTGGGGTCCCAGCGGCATTAACGGAGCTTCCCGATATCATTCGGTCTGTTTTTGCAGGTTTAGAATTTTCCGTGAAAAATAATTTTGTTTTCTTAAAAAATTATCCATCTTATTCCCAAATGAGATCCTTGGGGCAGAAACTAATCAAATTCTTTCTATCAGCACAACTTCTAGCAAGAGACCTTACATAGAGTTAATGCTCAATCAAAAAAAAAAAAAAACCCTCAATCAATGTGTGCCAAGGCAAGTATTGAAGGACCCTCTGTGGGCCAGGCTCTGGACAGATACTGAAGGCTAGCCCATCCTGAGCCATGACATACGGTTTCCTGTGCATAAGGAGAGTGGCCTGGGCACTAACCTGAGCTGCCTTAAGTGAGTCCTCCTGCGGTCCAGGAACCAGGACAAGCAGGAGCCGACACCAGTCCCAGGCTGGGGCCCTGGCTTGCACCTATTCTGCTAAACCTGCTCCCTTTCTGTCTCTCTCTCTCTCCGTCTCTTATCTAAGGGCTAATGAGCAGGACTTCAGGTGAATTTTCTGTCTAATCTGAGACGGGATTAAGTCGATTAGTTTAAATATATTAGGCACTTGATATGTCATCAGCCCTAATATGAGGTTTACATGCAGTGGCAGGAGACTCTTAATTAATTTTACCTTAAACACAAGAAGGTCAGGCCCAAATAATTCAGCATGCAAATATATGCAAAATAGGGCAAATTAGTGTTTCAGACAGACAAATGAGGCCCTATGTTTATTTTATTTTTTAATCAGAAAGAATTCAGCTTTGGACAAGGAAAAATGAAGACGTGAAAGGAGGCTTTTCATACTATTAGCAGAGAGGACAATGACAGGGTCATGGTCCTGCCACTTATCAAGCACCCACCGCGTGCGGGGGCCGGGATGAGTGTGCTGTACCCTCTATTATAATCCCCAATTCATAGGCAAGGATGCTAAAGCTCAGAAAATGAGATCCCTTGCAAGGCCCGTAAGGACAGAGCTGGAATCCGCTCTCAGGTCCGCCTGAATACAAAGTCTGTGAACCTAACAATCACTCTGCCTACTGCCCTTCTGGTGGCCACCAATGGGAGATGGAGCTGGGGGTGGGGGGAGGACATGGGAGAAGAATGGGTGCATGGGAGACAGGTGCCTTCAGGTTCTACACCTCTGCTCAGAGGTGTTGAAGGAATTGGTGGCAGGAGAAGGAAGCAGTGATGTGGGGAGCCGCCAGGAGCCACTCCTGAGCCATTGCTGGGATACAGTGGAGGAGGAGCGTGGGATAACAGGGAGGGTAGGGTGCGAGGGGCAGGAGGACGTGTACCAGATTTGGCCTTGGGTTAGTGGAGCAATCCAGGCTGAGGTGTCTTAAGCAGTGGCCTGACCCCACATCTGTGCTGAATCAGCACAGGCCAGATTCAAAACTACTGAGTGTGTAATCCCAAGAACCTGAGCTCCTTAGTAAGGGCGCGCCAGCTCAGATCCCCTGGGAGTCCACCCCGAGTCAGAATGCCAGGGGCCACCAGGGAGTCCCTGCGGAAGGAATTCTACGCTTTCTTCCGGCTGAGTGACACGAGCATCGCCTCCCAAGCCCCCGTCTGCAGGAAGCCTTCCTGTAGGCTATGCACGCACATCTCATATAGGGACATTTTGACTCACCCCAATCCACTGTGGACTGTGGCATCTAAAGTCTAGGGCACCTTTGCTACATCACCATGCATGCCATATTCATTTTTCAGAGCTGGTGACAAGCACGAGAAGGATCTACAGACAGGAAGATAAACTGCCCCATGTCACATAGCCAGTGAGAATCCAAGTCCATGGTGATCAATCCCCGAGGAAAACAGGATATCTCTACCACACTATGAGACACGCTGTTAGAACCATAGAGGGAATAAACCACACAGGCTTTAGAAAGCTCCCCAACAAGTGTATAATGCAAAATATGCGGGTGTTGGTGTCTACAAAAATAGAATTAAAAATCAGTTTCCACCATTTATGCACAAGGAGGAAGCTGATAGATGGGTTTGGGCCACATACAGTAAATAAAGTCTGTATCACCTGAAACATATTTATTACATGTACTTTCCATGCTGCCCATTAAAAGCTAGGCCTCCCTTATCCTCAGGCACATGGCAATAGTGAGTCTGCAATGAACACTAGCGTGTTCCATGCATCATACTCTTATTCACATTTCATCCTCACATCAAAGCCCACGAAGGAGGCACTGCTGGTATTCTCTATAGACAGAGGGCTCGGGTGACCTGCCCAGGGTGACAGAGCCAGTAAGCTACAGATCCAGAACTTGAATCCCAGTCTGATTCCCCGGCCCATGTTCTTAACCACTCCAGTCCCCTGGCCTCTAAAGGAAGCAAGAGACTCAACTCTCTCCTGCATTGTTTTCCAGCACATTTCCAATAAGGTCTACTATGAAATGCCTTCAGCCTTCAAGGATTCAAAAAAATTTGTTTTTGAATCTTTACCTATTGTAGATGCAATCATCACTCCTCTAGAATGATAACTGGTTCTGAAGAGCCGCTAGCAGTTCAGGAATGTTACAGGACCTTCCAACACCTGCTCACCTCCAATCCCACAGAGAGAGAAAAGGAGTGCAGAAGAAAACATGGCACCTGGGTCCTGGCTCCCACGCATCAGAACCACAGCAGTGGGGACAGTGGCTGAGCATCCCTGGCTCTACCTTCCCCCCGCCCTACGTGACTCACCTGGGATGTGCTTGGCCCAGCCAATGATGACCACAAGCTCCCTGTCTGCCAGGTCACAAAGAGTGGTCAGGGCCTTGATGTCACCCTCGGGCATGCCAGGGGGAGGCATGGCATACAGCTTGTCCGGCTCGGCCACCAGCAGGTAGGAGACAATCTTGGTCACTGCCAATGACCAGAGAAGAAATGTAAATGTTGGAGAAAAGAGGAAGGGGCTGGGGTGGAGCCTGAGATGGCTTAGAAAGAAAATTCAGGTTCTGAGGAGTCCTAGGAGGTCATCTCCCTTCCTTCTCTGACTCTACAAACTTGCTGGGCTACTGACAAATGTCCCTCCAAGGGAAGCTGCTGGTGAATTCTCTGGAGAGGAACATGCTTTGAATGGGAGGCATGGGGTTATTATGTTCTGGATGCTGGGGCCCATGTCTTCTTAGGATCATGCTTCACTTAGAGCCATATTCTGTAAATCCCCCAGGGAAAGGCCATCCGAACGAAGCCCAAAGCACCCAACACCAAGCCAGGCACTAATGCGACCTTCCTAAGATCCATACTGTCCCATAACCAGCAGTGGGAAGGTGGCATTGCCCCAAGAGATGCCAGATGTTCCAGGCACTCACATGGCTTTTTAGCGGGTGGAGAAATCTGTAAGCTCAGGTACGGGCTGCTCTCAGAGTCCAGCCGTCGTTTGTATTTCTGGCGGCCTCCACGCACTCGGTCAAGGCGCACACCTGTTGGGGAGGAAAGGGAAAAGGTGTCAGGTTGTCCAATATTTGGGTGCTACCACTAACTTGTCAACACTGACTTTGGACCCCATGACTAGATGCCTTTCGGATTGCTCCTTGGCCAGTCTCAAGCCAGGCAGTCAGACAATCCTAAAACAACTGTCTGATAGTAATGGCCCATCCCAGCTGCCAGGGCCTGGCCCCGTCTCTGGATTTGGCATCCTCCTGAAACCTATCCCGAGCAACCTTGAGCTCTCCAGTCCTCTGTTTCCAAAGGGAAAGCACAACAGAAGCACTCCTCTAGGAGTAGGGGAAGGAAGACTCATTATCGTAGATCTGCTGTGAATCCAGGGAGTGTTGAATTAGCTTGCAAGAGAGAAAAGGAATCTGTGCCACTGGCAGGCACCTCAAAAAGAATGAAAACAAGGATTTTCAAACTTTTCACATAAGCAGCATCCTGATGGGTGTTCACTACAAATAATCAATTTCTGGATCCCACCTTCAGAGATTATAGGATGGAGTTCTACAGTCTGTCTTCTAGAACAGAGGGAAGGTGAGGATTGGTCAGGGCAGCAGAAGCAGGGGTGTGGGGGCACCTGGGTGGCTTAGCAGTTGAGCATCTGCCTTCGGCTCAGGGCATGATCCTGGGGTCCCGGGATCGAGTCCCGTACAGGGGGCCTGCTTCTCCCTCTGCCTATGTCTCTGCCTCTCCCTCTGAATAAAGAAAATCTTAAAAAAAAAAAAAAAAAAGCAGGAGTGTTCGCAGTCCTGGGCCACATGCTCCTAGATGGGGATGCAGGTGAGGTGGTCCTGGCCATACGAGGAAAATAAATACCTCAAAGTCTCCCAGGAGCAGGTGCAAATGCAATCGTGGCCGCTCACACTAACATCCCTCTCCAGGAGTGAGGCCCTATCCTAGAGAGATGTGCTATTTCCCTGGTTTTATATGGCTTCCAGAAACCCACCCCACCCATCAGGCCCTGCTGTCTAGACAGACGTGTTGGTGCCATTTGGCACTCTTCCCAGGGTGGACAGGCCTCAAATGGCCTCCTCATCCAATGGCACACAATGTCTGCAATGCAAGAATCTCAGGCTGCCCCCTAGGAATCCGAGTCAGCTTGTTACCAAGGCCACTCCAGGTTACTGCAGCTGTGCCGACCAGCAGGGCCCCAGACCGTGAAGGGGGCAGCTGAGGCCCACGCCGCGCAGGACGCAGACCCGAGTGCTGGCAGGACTTCAGCTCCCACCCCCACCCATGCCCTGGGAGGCTGGCAAGACTGAAAGTGACAGTGCCGGGCTTCATTCACACGGGACGGTGAGGACACCCATGTCCTGCGCACCTACTCCACGCCGGGGTCTGCCTGGAGTCCAGGATGAGCCCCTTCCCCACTTCAACGCCTTGCTCTCCCCTCCAGGCGGCCCATCTGACCGCAGGCAGCTGTCAACTGGAGTGGGAACTGCTCAATAAAACACAGAAAGAGCCAGGTGATCCTTAGCAAGGCAAGGGGATGGGCAGTTGCCACTCCCTCACTACCTCCATCTAGAATGTTCTCTGTCCTGATACAGGGCCTGGCCCGTAGTGGGTGTTCAAGATGCACCTGTCTTGATGCATCCATCAATGGGCCTCCTTCCCCTGACCCCCGTGAGGGCTGGGTGCTTCTTCCAGGGTTCCAACAGCACCCTGGCTTCCCCTACTGACCAGACGCCGCTACAGCCAGCGGTTCTGCTCTCCGTCCCATTCCAGGGTCTGTCGTGGTGTCCAACGCCCAGCGGATGCTTAGAAAGCCAGAGCTATTACTAACATCATCACCATTATTATTACTACTCTTCCCCAGCACTGTGTACACCTCTCTGGCGAGTCACAGTAAGAATAATCAGGAGAACAGCCTAACTTATCGAGGACTTTCTCTACGTGTTGCCTTTGTAACCTGTAGCATATACGACGGCACCATTATCCGCATTTTATAAATAAGAGCCACTGAGACTCCAGCAACTGGGTAACGTGCCCAAAAAGAGCCAGTACACACTCTTTGTTACTCCAGGGTACAGTCCCCCAGGGCCCAGCGGGTATAATCTTTCCTCTAAATTTTCTCCTTCATATCTTCACAGCATGATGGTCAATGGCTCCAATCAATACACGCATCAATTACCAGCTTATTCTGTTTTCTGAAGAAAAGTAGTCTGTTGGGTTTGATTATGCCCCCAACTGCTACCTGACATGAGCCAGGCTTGCGTCCTGGCTTCCTGCCTGCTTTCCCAGGTCGTATCCCAGCCACACACCCACGAGGGCTCCAGCCCACAGGATCCCATGAGCAAGGGCCCAGGCCTGTCCTGACCCCTCATGGCTCATACGGCCTTGGCCCAGGTGGCTCTCACAGCCTCAGTCTCATCATCAGGTACAGGGGCGAGGAGGCCATGGTAATACCAACTCTGCTCACCGAATATGGCTTTTGGGACAACAGAATGACATCACTATGGGAAAATGCTCTGTTAACTGGCAGTGGTTCCAGTAGGCCAGGGGAGGCCATCGCTCCCAGCAGCACGCATGGCAGCATTCACTGGAACTTCACATGCATGCCTCCTTGTCCTTGTTTCCCTCTGTTGTGACCCACTCTTAAATTCAGTGGGTTCTTTTTTATTTTTTTAAGATTTTTAAATTTATTCATGAGAGACACACAGAGAAAGGCAGAGACAGAGGCAGAGGGAGAAGCAGGCTCCCTGCAGGGGGCCCGATGAGGGACTCGATCCTAGGATCCCGGGATCATGACCTGAGCCAAAGGCAGATGCTCAACCACTGAGCCACCTAAGTGCCCACATTCTGTGGGTTCTTAAGGGAAAGGGCCCACTTCAGCACTGCTTTCTGAGCTCCCTTCCTCCTCTACTGTCTCAGGCAGGTTTTTTTCATTATATTTAGGGTAGAGGGGTCCCAAGGTGTAGGCCTGTGCTTGCCAACCCAGGGAACCCCTCCCCACAGGCTGGGCCCCACCTAAGTGATGTAGCCAAGTCCCTTTTGTCCGCACTGCTCCCAAAGGCAATTAAGATCTGGATTCTGGGACACCTGGGTGGCTCAGTGGTTGAGCATCTGCCTTCAGCTCAGGTCCTGGAATCGAGTCCCGCATCAGGCTCCCCTCAGGAAGCCTGCTTCTCCCTCCGCCTATGTCCATGCCTCCCTCTCTGTCTCTCATGAATAAATGAAGTATTAAAAAAAAAATCTGGATTCACCCTGGAAGGCCCAGTTCAAGTACCATCTCTACTGAGAAGCCCTTCCTGACCCCCCCCCCACCCCGCCCAGAGCTGGCCATGCCTATCTTGAGCTCCCTTTGCTTATTCTCTATTACAGCAACTTTTCACATCACACTGTGTGCTCATCCCCCTGGTAGACCAGGGGCATCTCCTGGGCAAGGACCTCTTTCATCTTTCTCGCCCAAGCTCAGCACCTAGCCCGTGGGAGCCACCAAGCATCTGATGCACCAGCTCAAATGCAGCCTTCACATTCAGGAAAACAAAAGAATCGTTGGGTCTGGTCCTTTTTCCAGCCTCCAGAAATGCACTCTCTTAGGACAGCCCATCCCTCATCAAAGTTTCCCCTCATATTGAGCTAAATTCTGCCTCCAGATCACTTTCCACCTTCCGTCCCATCCAACGAAGACCATCCCCCCTTTCACAAGACAACCCTTTGTGGACTTTAATATCCTTGGGCACTCTCTTTTGATGGCCAAGCACTCTTCATTTTCTATATTTGTACAATGCTTTCAGGCCTGTCACCTCCTTGCCTTCTACACATTAGTCTTTATTGATGTAGTCTGCTCTGAACTGAGCACAGTCAGCATCTCAAGGGCAGAGACAGTGGACAGGTCTGAATTCCTCTGCATTCTGCCAAAACAGACATTGGTCAACTATGTTTATATTTATTATCTGCCGATGTGTTTTTATATTTTCTAGAGTACACCACTCACAATTTTAGTAAATAAGATAATGGCCCAGACTGCGTTCTCATCCTGAATGTTGCTCCAAGATGCTATATCATGAATCCCTTAAAAATACATCAAATTCTAATGGCTGGGTCTAGCAGACATGATTAGTTGTCTACACAATTGTCTTTCCATTCCCTCTTTCATGCTCAGGGAACTGGGATTTTGTTGGTAGAGGCAACGTGCCCGGGGCCACTCCTACCAATTTAGGTCCCTCCCTGCTTCCCCAGTTTCCGTGGTAGCAAGTGCTGGTCATATGACCTGGTTCTGGGCAATGGGTTGTAAGGGGAAGTCCATGCTGGGGGCTTCTGGGAATGGTTTTGCTTTTCAAGACACAGACAGGTTTGGTGCAGCTCTGCCTTTCTCCTGCCCTGACCTGGAAGGTGAAGGTTAGAGCTTTGGCAAGCAACCTGCAGCCATGAGGCAGCCAAGTGAGGACCCCAAAGAACACCAAAGAAAGACAGAGAGAGCCTGCATCCTCAATGCTATAGCTGAGAAGCCTGTAAAATGCCAGCAATCGTCCATCTCCAGAGTCCTTGGTAGGTGGGAAAATCGATCTCATTTATTGATGCTTAAGCCACTAGCAGTCAAGTTCTCTGTAACTTGCAGCAGAAAGCAATTTTCAGTGATAAAACGGGCAATTATTTCCTAAATTAGGATGCTTAAGTCTTACAAACACCAAATGGGGGCCAAAAAAAAAAAAAAAGGAAGACAACTTGAACTTGAAATGAGAGTTGCCTTATTGTTTGTGTTCTCATGGTTTTAGCAAAATATCTAAAAAGCAGGCTCAAGGAGCCTATTAAAATACAATTAACTTATAATCACTGTCTGGGATTATTAGATTATATCACCTCATTGATACTTCTTGAATTTAAAAACATTAATAGTACTTTCGTGCAAAGTATTTCAGACCTCTAAGTACTGTGATAAATACATATCCTTTGTTTTAATCAACGTTCAATACTGTGAATCCCTGAACATGTGCAGGCCAAAATTTAAGTATTCATAAATTTGCTAAGAATACAAAAGATTGGT